AAACAGTACCCCGAGCTGCAATCATCAGAATACAGCTTCCAGCCTAAAATAGAACAGATTCACTAAACTGAACGAGGCAAATGTAAAGAAAGAATATTAAGAATATTTCACTGAAGTCAATGAAAACCCCTACGAATAAAAAAAAATAGTATTAAGAATATATTCTTTCCTTTCCTCGCCCCCAACTCAAATGATGGTTTTGATTTTAACAAACCAAAAATCCACAGGATGAGAAACTTCCTAAGGAGGACAGAAAAAAAAAAAAGAGAGAGATTCAAGGTAGAGTTCCATTTATATTTTCTTGATGTTCAGTTCATAATGGTTCATTAAAAACAGAGGCAGAAAATAATGATTTTCTGAAATTTGGGACATGTTTGATTTTGTAGTGTTTTTTTTTTCTTTTTTTTTTTTTTTTTTTTAAGTAGGATCATTTCAGTAATCAGGCATGTAACAGAGCCATGCAAATGGTGGCAATAGCCCATCTGAGAAACTGCTGCATCAACACAGGAACCTATGAAGCTACAGTCTCTGGTAAAGAGATATGTAGGTCATGACAATGCTCAAGAAGGAAGCATATGCATGGAGTCGATTGAGAAAGATTCATCTGAGACCTGATAAATTCTGATATTCTCCACCCAACAACTTTCTGTGATTTAGCTGAACGCTACCTTGCTTCAGGAGAGACCTCCTGTCCTACTGGCAGCTCACTACAAAGAAACACAACCATCCAGCATTCATCAAGGGCTCCTTTAAGCTTCCCTCCTGAACCATAGAAATGTTCCTCATGCTCAGACCTACAGGCACAGCTTCATAATAAGGAAAGCTAGGGGCTCACTTGTTAAAACCACTTTTAATATCAGAGATGTGCGAGAAAAGGAATTCAGGAACCGTCTCAGGTGAGGAGTTTGAGCAAGAATATTAAAAAAATCAACATACTCTGCTCCGTTCTGAGATTTTCTGTACTCCAAACAGAAAACGAGCAGGGATGCAGAGTTAGAGAGGGTTCCCCATTAAAAGCAGGTAAGAAGAGCCGTAAAACGTTCCAGCGCTCCGGCCTCGTGCGTGGCTGCCGTAGCTACCCCCTGAACAGGGATCACATTGCGCACCCTGCGAGGGGTCGGTTTAGATGGCACTGCACAATTTAACTGTTCCGTAAACTGCACAAGAGTGGAATAAAAATAATTTTAAGGAGTTTTATAAAACAGTACTGTGACTCTTCTTAAGTAAGTTAGGGGCTTTATCTTTTGGCTTGAGCCTTTTTACCTTCCCCAGAAGAGCCTGCGGGGAGCAGACTTGAGGCTGGTTGCACCGGTTTGCAGCAGCAGCTGCAATTCACCTTCACTGGTGGTGCTTCACATCACCAGGGAGGTGAATTCGGGGCACGCAGGAGAGCAACGCCCAGCGCCTTCACGTGCCCCCTCCCAACCGGCTGTGTGCTCTGGAGGGAAGGAACGTATCCACAGCAGAGCCATTCCACAACCCCGAGGCATTTGCAGATAGGGGTAGGTCAGTTAAGGCTGGAAGGTCACTGCCTCTCTCTTGCCACCAACCTGGTGTGTCTTAGGCAGTAACAGAAAACATAGGAGTTCTACCAGCAGGACTGCTCCAGCCTTGCAAAATGTCAGTCACTAGGTCCTGGATAAGGGAGAGACTAAAGGACCTTTATTTACTACTTCTGTCTTCAAAGAGAACTTACAATGAATAATATTTGAGTAAAAAGCCTCCACAACTCTAACCTCTATATAAATCTCAATGATTTTTGCTAAACAAAAGATCCTTTTCAAGCCAGGATAAGAAAATTATACTCTAGCAAAAGTTCCCCATTTCATCCTTGCTAGAATCTGCTAGAAATACTCTGTGATGGAGGGCAGAAGCAGCACTGAGACCTCCCTCAACAGGTAACTAAGTTCCATCTCATAGGAGCCATCGCCTCTCTTGTAACTCTCTGCAATGAATAGGAAAGCTATCTTTAAAATAAATTGTTAAAGTAGGTTTTCTACATCACTGTTTGTGGGAAATGACATACATCTAGAGCTGGATCTTTCTCAATGGCTGCAAATAAAATATGGAAGTAATTATGGGAATTATGCAACAGGTCTCACATGGATTTCCAGATCTTTGAAGCCTGCATGAAAGGCAGTTCAGAAATCTCAAGGGGCTCCAGTAAGAATTGGGCTTTTGTTTCTGGGTCATCACTTGTTTTTTTATTAGAGAGTCTTCATCTTTTATTAGCATTCTTCTAGGATGAAAGATCACATCTTGTATTAGCAGCCCTACCTCAGGCTTACAGAAGACTGCCCTTGCATCACCCATCTGCACTCGATGACAATCCAAGAGCTATTTCATTCTCAAGGCTGCTGCACAACTTCGACCCAGTAAACAGGACTGATGAAAAGTTTATCCTACAAGGTGGTGATGTGGGAGACTGAATGAGGTGCTATTCCACATTTTGACTAAAAGTGACTACAACTGGCATTATCATATCCCAAGTTCTGTGTGAAACACCTAAGCCTCTATCATTTTATTAATTATTTTCTCTCTAATAGATTGTCTCCATTCTTCCAATTCAGACAGATGAGCAAACCTGAGCTTTGAATATCTTCTGAAAGGATGAAGTAATCTGCTTTTCCTCCACAATTCAGGCCCCATCCAAATCTCTTAGAAAATACCTGGAACCCAAGAATGACTCTTCCCTCTACAATCCCATCCCATCTGACTTCTCTTCCCCCAAGAGATGGGTGATTGAAGCTACTTAAAACAGTTCTTCTCTAATCCCGCCTCCTCTCTTCCTCTTGGAAAGGAGCAACCCTGCCAGGCGCAGCTGCAGTTGGCCTGGCTACGTATGCCTCCCTAGCCGTGCCTGCACAGGGAAGGGATGGCTGAGGTAATCCCTCCTCCCAAATGGAAAACATCCATCTTCTCACTGACTAAATCACCCTCCTTTTATTCTTCTGCTTTTTAAGGCTTTTTTTCACCACTTCTGCAACCAGCTTAGTAAGGGAGCCGGGTGGGCAGTCACCCTGCAAGAGAAATGCAGCCCAGTGGGATGTCCGGGAACTAAGCAAGAACCAGGGTGAGCTGGGCTGTCAGGCTGTGAATGTTACGTGAGGAATACTCTGCCAGGAGAGCTAGGGCTAGCAGGGAGGCCTGGCTGCGGAGCAGGCACGGGGACCGGGAGGGAGCGGCAGCTGGCTCTGTGGTGGGCCCTGCCAGCCGGCACGGCCCGCGGGCTGGCGGTGCCACAGCGAGGCGAGGAAGGCAAGCGCGGCGCTGGGGCGGCAGCTCAGCGAACCGCCGTCTTCAGAAATGGCTCTCCCTCTTCTTCTAAGGTTAGTTACTCAATACTTCAAACACAGGTGCGTGCGCACACCTCCCATGGCGGCGCCGCTCCTTGGGCACAGCGGGGTGGCAGGGAGGAGGGGGCGGCCTCTTTCCAGTGGTGGCACCGACAGAACTAGAGGAAACGGCCACAAACTGAAGCACCAAAAGTTCCACGGGAACTTAAGGAAAAATTTATTAGCAGTGAGGGTGATGGAGCACTGGAACAGGCTGCCGAGAGAGGTTGTGGACTCTGTCTCTGGAGATCTCCAAGGCCTGCTTGGACGCAGTCCTGTGCTACGTGCTCTGGGTGACCCTGTGTGTGCAGG